AAAAAAATGATAGACTGCTTAAAATAAAAGTGAATTAATCTATTCGGAAATTTTAAGCACATGTTTCTATATTATTAAAAAAAAAACATATCTGTTTCTATTTCCTTAAAAAACTTATCCGACGAAAGCCTCTATTGTTTTTCTTTCATTGGATTACAACTGTCAGTGACTATGATGGAGACATGCATAGGTGTTCAAGACGAGTAAACAAATTGTACCTTTTCAGCTGGTTATTTTCAAGGAAACTTAGAAAAATATTTCCTCATAGGCCTGTGAAGATATGTGCAATTCCATTCTCATTTTTTATTCAGATATCTTCTCAAGTTTGATTTTAACCATTTTTTTTAATTTACCGTATATATTCAAATATAGAGCGATTTTTTATGTTCAATTTTTTATACAAAAAATAGGGAGCGGGGCGCACTATACTCAAGTAATTTTTTGAAGAGATTAAAAATCACGCATTTTCGGTACCAGTTGCTCTATACACAGGTATTTCTTTTTTCTAGAGGGGTTACAATTCATGTTTAAACACCCAGGGTTAACATTATTAAGTCGACTTATACACGAGTGTATACGGTAATTAGACATATTATTGTTTCCACTTAGTTTTTTCTCTTTCTAAATTCATTATTAGTTTTTTTTTCAAATCTTTTAATTTAATTTTATTCATTTATCTTTTTGTTTAGGTTATAAGTTGGAAAATTTCAGTTTTGTTTGTTTAAATGCAGGGAAAAGACGGGTAACAAGTGATTTTTTCCCCAAAAATGTAACTTTATTTCTTTCCATTTAAATTTAATCCACTTAAAATAACTGACTTAATTAATTTTTTTTACATTTTGATAAAAGATTTAAATAATAAATGTAAATAACTCAGTTCCTTGGAATCGGTTGCATCTTGAACGGGATATTTTTTCACATTATCATTAATGAAGTGATACAGTACATAATATATTCTGAATTTTTTCCATTGTTTTAAAAAAGAAGAAAATAAAATTGGTTTTAAGCCGACTGCAAAACGTAAAAAAAATCCCGCCTTAAATGAAGACAAAATGATAAAAAATAGTTTGACATTTTTTTTAAAATCCTGTTGTATATTTATTTTTAAGTTTTGCAATAATTTGAAGACACATTGATTCAAGATTGATCAGACATTGATAAAAACCAATGTGAAGACGAGCAGACGTATGTATGTCAGCGCGCGCGTTTACGTGACAGTGTGTTTTGATTGTTACTAATGTTCACTCTTTAAGGCCCAAGAACCACTCGAGGTGGAGGATTACTGAAGGAGTTTGTTGCGTGAATGGTAAGAGTAAGAGGTAACGGGCGCTATTTATGAGGATATGTGGGGAAAGACTTGAACTAGACTTGAAGATTGTAGTGATCGGGGAAGCATCCTCTTGGGAGTCGGTTCCTCTAAGTAAGAAGCACACTTTATAAGGATATGTGGGAAAGATAACGATTAACCATAGATTTGAACAGATTAAGATTGTAGTGGTGGAGAAAGCATCCTCTTGGGAGTCGGTTCGTGGGAAGAAGCTGTTCGAGTGGGGTTTACTTTTCACCCATGCAATACGAAGGGAATGACGGTAGTTCGCCTCAGTGTACGTGGCCCGTCTTAGGTATAAGATAGCCTCTCGCTATTCCGTGGAAATAGCGAGAGGATAGCAATGTTTCATCTGTGGGGAAAGGGGTGGAAAATAATTCGTCACCCACAAGGCCGCATGGACACTTTAGGACTCTACTAAGACATGAAAGTGAAGACTGGGTGACTCCAGTCAAGATATAGCAGTAGTACTCCATTTTCGAACTGATCTGGCTCTTTTAAAAGTCGGGCATAGCAGGAGAAGTCCGGTATTTACTGGGGCAGTACAGGGAAACGTCTATTACTAAAGATTAACTCTTTGTATTCAAATATATAGTGATTACAGATTCAAAATGTCTACTTAAACATACATCTGCACAAGAAACATGATTTCTAAAAGCTGGGTTTAATTTGTTTTATTAATTTCATAAATTTAATATTATTTTATTAATTTAGAAAATTTGGTAACTATGAGTATTAAAAGAAAAACACTTCTAATTCTTGGAAATTATAATTCTCTTAAACCTTTTATTTCTATAGAATTCTGTTCATTGATTTGAGACTTATGCAACCAGTATTTTGCGTTTTTATAGTTTTAAAAATAGATATTGTACAAAAAGCACATTTGGTTTCAATATGAAATTTAATCTAATTAATGATTAATTACGAAAAGTTTCCTTAATCTTTTACAGTTTTATCGTCTGGCACTAGCAAATAAATTAAGGTTCTTATGTTGCTATTTGTTAAGAATCGATTGTCATTTTATTCAATCTTTGATTTAATTTCCCCAATGTTACATTTGTAATTGCATAATCGAAAGAAAGCGTTATACTTGAAGTAAAGAAAAAAAGAACGAATAATTCAGAAATTCAACATAACTTAAAAATAAAATACATTTTAGATTTAGTCACTTACCTGGACACCACCGCAGAATAGCTGATTATCCTCGTAGTTTTGGGGTGTTTTGTATCCTAACCTCCACATGCTAGAACGAGATACAGGATCAGCTAATTTACCGTGGGCTTGAATTGACTTTACACAACATATTACCATTACGACAAGGATCTGAGAAAACTGTGACATTTTGTGTTTTTGTTGTATTTTTTCTTTTCTCTGTTATCGAAAAGTAAGTTTTACTTTTGTTTTGCTTTTCTTTTTGTGTGTGTGTGTGTACACAGGGTGGCAGAACGAAATACTGGTCTTTCTTTCCTTGTTTTCAGTTAAACAGAAAATAAAAATGTACTTCTTGACTGTAGCTATGTATTTTAAATTTATGTTGCGTAGATGTTTTGTTTTTCTTCTTTCCAGAAAATAAAAATGTAATAAGTCAAGAAAAGAATAATCACAATAAAAAAAAATGTAAATCTTCTTTAGGCCGCTTAATTTTTGTTTTTATCAGATGCGTTTTTAATTCTTTCTTTCTTTCTTTTTAAATTAATTTTTTACTTGATCGCTTTGCTAGAAAGATTTGTTTGCTTTTTCCGTTTAGCGTCGTAAAAAGCATAAAATATTTTCCTTTTATTTTTTCAGGGATAATAATACTTGTAATCTTTTTCTTTTTCTTTTTTAGAGGTCTTCGTCGTGCTGCCTTATGATATGAAAATATTGTAATAAAATATTTTGCCTTCTTAAAACTTGTATTCTTTGTTTCTTCCCTGGGGTAACAAACACTATTTTTCTCCTGTTCAACGGCCGTTCAATGTTTATCTGCGAATTACAAATAAATATATATATAACTAAGTGAAGCCCTCAGATTACTTAAGTGCTGTGTAGGAGACAGTTTTTTTTTTTTAACTGGGAAGATTTGAAAGAAAAAAAAAGTTAGTGTTGTTATTTCTGCTCAGTAACCTGTTGACCAATCGCCACTTACGACAGAACGCTAAGAAGGGAAAACCCACTGTTACTAAATAAACAAAAACCTATTTAAAGCTGCAATGGAAAATCTGTTTACAGATAACACTAACAGTCATTCGCCGATGAGACACTCCGTGACAGAAGTCGGCCATCGATGACTTAAAAGTGCTTGTAATTGAAAGTATAGGCCACTGCTGTACCATTTTTTGTGTATTGATAAAGAAAGAGGTCATGGTTTATTTTAGGTTTTGATTTCACTTCTAAAAAGGTGTTTAATAGGTATTACCGCTTTTTGTGCTTCAAAGATTTTCATTCTCTTTCGTTATTTGTAGGCTATTCTGTTATATATAATTGCGCATGCGTGAGTTTGACAGTATCTCAGTGATTCAAATTCATTGATATTAGTTTCTGTAAAAAAAAAAAAAAAAAAAAAAAAATAAGAAGTCAGGACAAAGTTCAACGTTTCACTGTTTATTTATGAAGCTATGTGTTATGTTATGGGTACTCCCACTAAAAATAATCGATACATTGTGAGCTGAAGATTCGAACCTAGAATTAACCCAGTATTTATCAGTATAATCCAGTAAGATCAAGTAATACCTATAATTTTCTACTGGATCAATGTCTTTGCACTTACGACACGTGTCCTGTTAGAGAGCACTCTGAAAATGATCAAAGATGAAGAGAGGGTCACAATCTTAGATTAGTTGGGGATCATGGTCGCAACAGAGATGAAAGGTTCCTTTTTTAAGAGTTCTTATGAGAAAAGACATCAGTAAAAAGTGAGATACAAAAAAAAAAACGGTGTTATCTGGGATAGTCCTTGAATTGTAGCATAAACAGAAGAATGGAATTAGTTATTTAATATTTATAAAGAAATTATTATTTATTTATAAAAAAAAAAACAAAAAAACAAAAAGCGAAAAATAAGTTAATTGAGAAAAAGTAAAAGAAAAGAAATATGTAAAAAAAAAAATAACTGGGCGTGTAAAGTTTATTGTTTTCGTTTGATTTCCTAATAAAAACTCGATGAGTTCTTTGACACGGAAAGAGACAGAAGAGATTTCCTCTGTATCGGCTGATAGAGAAGGAAATGAAAGAAAAGAGTCTCCTATGGACTTGTTATCTTTGAGACGCAATGTAAGAAAGAAGAAAAAAAAACAGACAAAAAAGAAACTACAAGAACAAAAAAGTGAAAGAAAAAGAGAAGAGAAAGAAAAAAGGAAGAAAAAAGAGAAAGAAAAAGAGAAATAAAAAATACAAAAAAGCGAAAGAAAAAAGGGAATGAAAAAGATAAAAACACTTAACCAAGAAAAAAAAAGGTAGGGGCAATATCAGTTATGTCTCATGTGGGATACATGCTTAGGCGATCATGTAACTTTCGATACATGACTGACGAGGAAGATTTTTTCCTGCAGTAGGTTGTCATTTCTTTCTGCAGTAGACCAGTTTCCATCTCAAGACTATAGAAACCGGCCTGTCCTGTTATGTGAAGAAGATTAATACCTATCCCAAGTGTATTAGCACGTAAATGAATGTAATGGATTTGACTGGAATTCGAACCCGGCTTTCCGATTCGTCACTCCGAGCCGTTATCCATTACGCCACCGTGCCTATATAAGAATGCAATAAGCGATTATTTGAGGAAAAAAAAAAGAAAAAGAACAGTCAACCCAGAAAAGAGAAAGAGAAACGAACATGGGGAATAAAAAGGAAAAGAAAGGAAGGAACAAAAAGAAAAAAAAATAGTTTATCCCCATTGATATGACATATAACAGGTCAAGCGTCGCATCCATTTCTTCTACTTTGACTACATAGAAGAGTAAATAACTAGTAGTAAACACATCGTCTGTTTCTCTCTTTTATCTTGAAACATTCACAGTTTAAATCGATTAAAGAGGTTGAAAATGAAATTAAAAGTAAGCGTCTACGGTCATCTTTTCGACTTATGTAACTTTACATGAATACATCTGTTTTGATCAACTTGGGATGCTTCAATAAAATTCGATCAATGGCCAGAAGAAATAATCATTTACGATCGACAGTTAGAGAAGAACGAAAGAACTCATCAACACAAACGGTAGACTCTCAAAACAATATATATACAAGAATCAACATCGACCATTGCGCATTTGTCACGTTGATCATGAGAGAAGGAGCAGTGGCATATCTAGTTGTAAGAGAAGTAGGACACGGAATATATGCGCCATTTTAAGGTGGACCCTAACATTCCATTGGACGCTGTACAAATCATTTCTAGTGTAATATTCATTCATTAGGCATTAAGCACTAAATCACGTGGCGACATTTTAGACTGCAGAATGCTGCAATTCATTCGAATCAATATCAAACTACCAAAGTCTGAAGAGCTTCTAAAATTTATTTTCAATTCGAAGATGAGAGTGTGTTCCTAAATCTTATTAAAGATGTTCAAATTATGTCAACAATTGCGATTTCCACAGTGAACTACAAGATCATATGAAGATTGTCAGCAACATTTCCGGATTAGCTGAAGATTGTCAGTAACAAATTCTGATTGAATCATAATTCCTGAATTAGCCGGAGAGTGTCAGCAAGATTCCCATATCAGCTGAAGATTGTTATCGACATTCCCGGATCAATGTCAGCATCAAATTCTGAGTGAATCATCATCCCTGGATCATCTGAAGATTGTTAGCAACATTCCTGGATCAACTGAAGATTGTCAGCAACAAATTCTAATGGAATCAACATTCCTGGATTAGGTGAAGATTGTCTTAAAACAAAGGATGCAAAGCCTCGTTTACTCATTTTTATTCATTTTAGATTTACCTACTTCCGCTGGTAAGCTGATCGAATATTTGACTATCCAGAATATCGCAAATAACTCACTCAGAAAATTTAATTTTAAATATTTTATGGTCCAAGAGAAGACTTTTTGATTCGGCTTCAGAAATGCGTGAACGGCGGTTTTGGTACACGTTAGTATGCGTTTTAGTTGTGTGCCATCGTGAGGCTTTTGGAACATTTGAAGCTCAACTGCCAGTAAATAACTCATAAGTTAGCATCTATAGCTTTAAACGCGTTTGCATTCTCTGAGTAAGAGACAAACCTTCATGTGTTCCCCCCCCCTTTTTTTGACACGAGCACTGCATGCAGCTGCATTCGAAATGATTTTCTTGATCGTATAGTGATCTCTTACAAGACTTTTTTTTTAGTTATTCCTGCCGTTGCTTATCCTGACATAAAGCATTTCGACAATTTTCGCCTTCTCACCCGTCACAATACGTACAGTCAACTGAACGATGACTTAAGAAATGCAATGTTGGAAAGCACCACACACACACACACACACACACACACACACACACACACACACACAATAACACACAGATATATATATTCAGTTGTATGGATATGAGTTTGTGACCCTGGGTTTTGGGATGACACTTTCACACACACAGACATACATACAGGTGTACGCATTTTACTTCACACAAACACATCCATATAAACAATCCGTTGTGTGAACTAAAATGTACACCTGTATGTATATATATATATATATATATATATATATATATATATATATATATATATATATATATGTGTGTGTATGTGAGAATACCATCCCAAACGGACACAGGAGAATTTTCCCCTCCCACCACCAAACGTAATCAAACAAAAACAAACGTAAATAGATTCAATTTAAAAAAAAATAAACCAGTTTGTCTGATGACCGCAAAAGCGTGAAACCCAGGGTCACAAACTCATATCCATACAAATGAATATGTTAGCTCTATCGCTAATATTGTGCACTTTCCAATAAGTACTGCGCATATAAATTAATACATACATACATACATACATACACACACACATATATATATATATATATATATATATATATATATATATATATATATATATATATATATATATATATATATATATATATATGTTTGCCGACACGGATCGGATTCATAACAGTTAATATCATTTGTCTGAAAATTGCCTTCGTCGAATGGAAGAGAATTATTAAACATTATTAAATATTATTTAATGTTGAAATCAATTTAAATTTCAGGGTGTTGCATTTATTTTGGGGGCGGGGGAGGGGTAATGTAAATAAAATATAAATAAAAATGATTAAAATATAAGAATTAAAATAAAGAAATAGAAAAAGTAACATGAAAACTTTTTGTAAATATTTATTTGCGCATCTATTTTAGATGGGAAAAATATTTCAGTGGTGTTGTTTTGATCATTTTTTACTCGTTTTTAAATATTCCTAGAATAAAACAAAAATATTCAGCAACATTAGGATTTCAGTAATCAATTTATCGAGAAAAAAGCATTCATTATCGTAAATAAACAACACTTTTAAATGATATATATTTCAAAAATGTACAATTCTGATAGAAAAGTTATCTTCCTTTAGTTTTTTAACTTTTGATTATTCATTCAGTGAAATGAACCACTCGACAAAGTCAAGATTCAATTTAACGCTTTCAGTAAAGCCAGTTTTTGGCTGACATTCGCTGTTATGATTGCCTCCCTTGCAGACACATACTGAACGACACTGCTTTGATATAACTTTAAGAAAGACACAACAGAAATAACACATCGGCTGATATATTATGATAAAAATAACAATGATCAGGATGTACTAAGTCTGCAGATTAATCGGCATTGTTTTTCTCAAATAGATCCGGTGGTCATCAAGTTTCATGTATTAAAATGGTGACAGAGAGAGCAAGAGATTTTGTCTAAAAATACCAAATTCATTCAATTGTCTGTCCATCCCATTTGTAAAGTTGACAATCTTAAATTAACTCCCATCCCTAAATATTTCTACACACTTCATCAGATTATGTTGAACATTCATATGCAGGCATCCATCGATTAAGGAGCAATCGATTAATGCGTTTTCGATTAGTGCGTTAAATTTTTATCCACCAAAATTCGATTAGTGCATGCATAATACTCAATTAAGACGGTAAAATATTATTCAGTTTTCATTTATTTTTAATACACATTCTTCTGAAAAGTTAATAAACGTAGCAGTTCTCACCAACTAAAGCGCGTAGATGATCCTAGGGATATTTTGCAAAAGACGCATTTCGAAATCTAGCTGAGTAAATACCATTTGTAGTGTAACCCAGCTTTGAATATATATTCAGCTTGTTAATTGATAAAGTATAGTTTTGGATTGATTTGTTTTCGTTTTATGATTTCAGTTTACAGTGGAATCTTGGTTTACGAATTTAATTCGTTCCTGAAGGCCGTTCGTAACCCGAAATGTTCGTAAACCGAAACAATTTTTCTAATATGAATCAATATAGAGAAAAAAAGTCACAGTACAATAAAATTGGAAAAGAAAAGCAAGACACAATACACGAATGTATACAACATGGCGGTCGACTCAGAAATGATTTCGTTCAGGTTAACTCGGTTCGACAATGTTTTTCGAGAAACGAACCATTTTCATCTCGAATTTTCTGTTCGAAAACCGATTTGTTCAACATGTAAGATGTTCCAGAACCGAGGTTCCTCTGTAAATTTCTTTTGTTCAACCATAAATCTCTTATTATTTATATCTGACACTTAAAGGCAACAGAAAATAAAGAACCATTATAAATTTTATAAGCTGAAAAAAAGAGTAGATATTAGTGATACTGATTTTTAGTGAGTTTGGTTTACAATGGCTGCTTCATACCCGTGAATGTGCCAGCTTAGTAGAGCGAGATCGCTCTTAGATTAGTATTTCATTGGTTTGGGAAATAAACACGAGATATATTTTTTTTTTTTTACTAATGTTCACCCAGTACATAACCGAAGAGCCACACAAGTAACAGTGTTACTGTGAAGTGTTGTGTTAAGGTTAGAAAGGGCAAGAAGTAAAGATTTTGGGACTATGTAGCTAACTCTAGATTTGAAGAGGCCAAGATTTAATTAGTGAACAACATTTATAAGTTTAGTCGCAGACGTAAGAAGTAGAGTGTAGAGGTAGATTTTAGAAGGAACCCAAAACCCAATCCTAAACAGGAAACAAGGGATAAACCTCTACCTCTGTTCAAAAGATCGAGGAGGAGTGTAAACTGGACGAGAGGCGAACCTATCTACTCCTATTAAGAGAAAAGCAAAATAGTGAATAAAATTTCAGAGTTTAGGCGGAGACAAAGAAGTATAGAGTTAAAGAAATGAAGGAACGTGAAACCCAATCCTTAATAAAAAAAAAAAAAAAATCAGGCAAAATATGAACAGGACGGAAACTAAATTTACAGAATAAAAGTTCAGGAAGAGAAAAAGTAAAAATTTGA